ACCTGCATGTCTGAGAAATAAGGAAAAAATATTTCGAAGACGACATGTGAAGTTCGCCAACACGCATTGGGGCAGCAGGGCGGACATTTCCTTGCCCTAAAACCCTCTCAGAAATGAGAGGAGGCCTGTGCCCAGCCATGGGACGTAAATAGGCTGCAACTTTACTTACTTTAACTTTTATATATGTATATATATTTATGTTCTGTAACTGCCTTCGTAGTTTTGTCACTGCCCTAAGGTTGACTGGCGGAGAATGCATTTAGCATTAAGTCCGCCTTTTGATCCTGTACTGATGTGAGGGTCTTCAATAAAGTTTAAATAAAAAATAAATAAACCATTGAGTCTATTAACCTTTTGATTTATAAACTCATTACTTTTAATACTAATAGTGGCACCATCTATGTCTATGAGGAAGGCCTATTGTCAGCAGTGGACTTTGATGGTAATAAACGAATTTATCATCATCATCACAGCCCTTCACAAGTCCACTGTTAAACATAACCCTCCCCTAACGGATACCACAAAGCACCGCCCTGAGCCACCTGCATCCATTCACTTCCTACATACTTTACCATCTTATAATTCCGTCTAGTGTAGTAAATATTAAGGATTAATTTAGTCCGAAATGATGAAGTCATTCACAATGAATGAGCATTCTGGGTTCGATCTCCGGTGGCGCCAATGAATACAATTTGATAATGTTTGAATACAATTTTTACAACTGATATATCACGTGCTCGACGGAGAAGGAAACCATCGTGAGCATCAAATGAGCAGTTATGCAGGTTTCACTGCATACTGCATATAGGCATAGTAAAATAAACTGAAATGAACCCCTACCGAGTTGTAATATCATGGCTGTGTTGAATGTAGATTAGCGTATTTGAGAAGCGATATGAATGTGTCACGCAAATTTGGGTCATATATTATATTGATGTGAAAGTTCATTTCACATTACAGTTCGCGACGCTTAATACGTTGTTAGTGTGAATCGATCGATGTTTAACAGTAAAAAAAAAACAGCAGTGACATTGTATGCAGTACAGACAATGGCTGATTCAGTTTTTGATACTGTAATGACGCATACTGTCTCTGTACCTACATTTAAACAATTATGTTACGATTAGTGTAGTCGCCTTTATTAAGCGTACACTTAATATTTTTTTTTATCATTTCATAAGTATGCAGGGTTATTTTGCAATAACCGGCCGAATTTTTTTTAAAATACTAGTAATGCTATTAAACATTACTAATATGCTCATTAATACATTATTTTAACTGATTTTACTGCGCACGCACACATTTTGTGGGGGTTGATCGGTAGGCAAAAACGTTGTTGCCCATAATTCACATTCAATTTGATATAATTTCAAATAATTTAACTTAAAAAAGTAGAAGCCTTATTTACCCGTATTTTCAAAACTGCATTAACGGTATATTCATCATCATTACAGCCTTTCACAAGTCCACTGCTGAACATAGGCCTCCCCCAAGTTATGCCACAAAGCACGGTGCTGAGCCACCTGTATCTATCGACTGCCTGCATGTGTCTTACCAGGTCGTCACTCCATCTAGCGGGTATATTATTATTTCTATATTTGAACTTAATTGTAAAATTTGGCTACTCTTTAAGAAATAACCTTACGTAGTTGAAGGGACAGTTTAAGCGACAGTAGCCTAATGGTAGGGTGCGGATCGCGAACTCAAAGGTCGTGGATTCGTATCCGCCATACGACTACTGTCGTGAATCACTCCTAATGGCGCGTCTCCACCAAAGTTTTGTTGTCAACACAACATTTGCCAACAAAACTTGTTTCGATTTTCGGCGGCAACATCAAAGGAATACGCTTGTTGCCGACATTTGTTCCCTCGGTGGAGACGCTTGTTGACAGAAACATTTGTTGGTAAAACGTGTTGGCAAATGTTGTGTTGACAACAAAACTTTGGTGGAGACGCGGCATAACACATGCATTTTAAGCTAACCAGGAGTGGTTAAAAAGGAATATTAGCAATGTTAATAGAATTATTGGTATTTTTAATAAAAAAATAATAAAAATAGAGGGGTTGTTGAATATTTTCATTGGTTGCTTTGTGTTGCTTTTTATACCAGACGTTCTTATATAGCTTGGGAATAGTTAACTCTGTTAAACAAACTTTCGGATTGGGATGCAAAATCTCAGTTTTACCCTCAGAATATACGGGTTTGCGCTGAAGTTGTTAGAACTTAATTCCGCGTAGATAAATAAAATGATGTGTCCTGCCTGCCAGTTCGAAGAGCACCTCCCACCCTCCACCCTCGATAATGCGACATGTGTTTCGCCTCTACACGAGGCATCTTCAGGTGAAGTAGAATCTGCGGTGGCTGACCGCTAAGTCAAGAAACCCTTGGTCGCATCTCCACAATAGCAGGGCATTCCCCCTGCTGCCTCAACCAACATCGGAATCCTCGGTGCCGACATATGGAATGCCATTAATTTCTGTAGTCACTTGTATGGAAAGAATAAATTGGCCTCTAAAAACCTTGCCGTGCCCAAGGGCGGGTCGATATTTCATGCCTACATACCTCTTTCATGTTGAACATACGCAAGTTCGACCTCACATGGAATACTGTTCTCATTTCTGGGCCGGGGCAGCTCATCGACAGCTCCTTCCATTTGGCTCGAATTATCGACGATCGAATTCTCTCTGGTCAGCTGGATTCAAAGAGATGCTGCATCTCATTGCAGTTTCTAACGCATTTACCACGAGTACCGCGTAGAGGAATCGGCTGGATTGATTTCATGCGCTAAATTCCACCACGCACATCGTTACATAATAGGTGTGTATTATATGTGGTACACGGCTCTACGTAAACCAGTTCTCTTCCTTACACAACTTTTTTACGGATTTGGCTACCACCAGCAGTTTTTCCGGACCAATTCGACTTAGCAACTTTCAGGAAAAGGGCCTACTCCTTTTTAAAAGGCTGGCAACGCATCTGCGATTCAGCTAATGTTGCAGTTGTTTATGGTTGACACATAGCACATACTATCTGGTGAGCCGCATGCTCCTTAATCCCTCTTCTATATTTTTTATTAAGGTGTCAAAAAGTAGAATATCGTACATTTATAACAGACAACACATGTTTTATATTTTTTGTAGCTCACAGTGCTCACATTCACAGTCATCATGCGTCGTCTGGACTACACTCTCATCTCACATAATACCAGCGTAAAAAAGCATTATAATACTGCTGTGTTTCGTATGGTGAGTATAGAGAGCCGGAGACTCTTTACTGGAAAAGAGACATTCCACCTGAGTCCTCAGGGTGACAACACATTCGGATTTTGATTTTGATCTAAATGTCTACAGGCCACAGCATCTACTTACCGTTTACCGTTACCGTGCTCGTTTGTCACCCTTATTGTATTAAAAAAAAGTATAAGAAGCATTTGTCACCTTATTCTATAAAAAAAAGTGTAAGAGGAAGGCGGTTTTAATAATCGTGTCTTAGAAATATCGTTGTGCATACCATCAACACGTTCAAATATAAATATCTGGCTCAAGTCATTGTAAAAATAATCCCGAAGTGTCAACTTTACAGGCGTTCTCCAAGAACAGCCCCATTATACTTATCTCTCGTTTCCTCGAAACGTCTTTGTTAATCAACAGGCGATTGCGTATGTTCGCGCTAATTTAGTTTCTTATGGCGAAACCGTATATTGTCTATTTTTCTTTGATTTATAATGTTACTTATTTCATTTATGTATGCCTAATTATTCAAATGGTTTTTCTGCGGATTTCAAATAAAGGAGGAGGTTCTCAATTAGACTGTATTTTTTATGTGTTTCCTCAGAACTATTTTCTAGGTGAACTGATTTTTATTTCAAAACTGGTGCTTCTCATGTGGTCCCATATAAATTTGATCTAGATCTGTTTATCTGATTTTGTAGTTTTAGAGTTTTCCTTAATAACGCATATTTAATTGACTGCGACTACACTGATTTTATTTATATTGAGTTGTAAAAAGTTTTAATTTTACCATTTGTTTATTCAGTCTTTCAAAAGTTTAATAGAAACTGTTGTACCCTATTCTACCCTCTACGGGGATTAATTTTCCAAAATCCTTTCTTAGTCATACGTCATAAAAGGTAAACTGTACTGTCCAAATTTCAGATTTATTACACTTCCAGCGGTTCGAACTATGTGTCATAATACGATATTCTTCATACAAGCTTTGAAACATCATTTCAAAACGTTTAGAGTAATTTAAGAAAATTGAAATTATATAATATATTTTCATTCAAAACCATTTATTAATTTTTTCCTTGCCGGCCATGCACAAGGGGTTATTCCGTATTTATTTAAATTGAAGGAGGTTATATTGCTTAATTAGAAATGAGAATACATTCATTGAAGTTGAATGATATATTATAACTTTCAAATATGTAAACTTATGTCGGTACGATACGCGAGCCACCTACTGTAAGTTAATTGTACTATGCCTATAACCTTCTCGCAAGTGCAAGAAATAAGTTGACAAAGTTTACCGCAATCTTATGAACAGTATGGCAGCGAATAAACAACTAAACAAACATTTATTTTAATATGCTTATTAGATACATAATATATTATGTAGAGTATATAAAACTCTTTTAGTAAGTATAAAGTGATTATATCCTCTTTGGTACGATCCTGACACACCTCTCGCCTCCTTTACATCCTTAAACCTAGACCTACACATGCTCGTCGGTTAAACGTACTCTTATTGTGGCCCATCTTCAATATATCGCCAATTGCATGCATCAAGTCATTATTAATCTCGCAACATGGAGTGATAATCATATGAAACATTCATCATTGCAGGAAGTAGACGATTCAGGGTTATTAGGACCGTGTTTTGTGGCAGTTTTGAGGCAGGTTTTTATTCAGCGATGGACTTCGGATGTGCCAGTGATGACGATGACGATCACTAACCGTGGTATTGGGAATGATGTATCATATAATGTGCATAATTTCAGGATAATATGTCTGGCACCTGGCCAAAAAACCTGAACTACACGATCCGGATAAAAGCGGACTTCATGACCCACCTCTATAACCCGCAGGACGGCGGTGTGGGACCACATGAAAGATTTGGTAAGTGAATAATATGACCTATTTTACTGACGACGCATAAATAAGAACTTTTTTGTAACCGACTGTCTCGTTGATCCAGTGCTCGCATCTTAGTCCTCACGCAGCGTATCTGTAGCCGTCTTTTTAAATTCAACCTTTTTTTTAAATTTTACCACGTTTTTTAGGGTTCCGTACCTCAAAAGAAAAAAACGGAACCCTTATAAGATCACTTTGTTGTCCGTCTGTCTGTCTGTCATGACCCTTTTTCTCAACAACTCACGGAGGTATCATATCAAATACTCAAGTTTACTGTCTCTTGGAGCTGTGAATAAATCAAACTTCTACGCCAAAACAATGAAAAGATACAGCCGTTTATGCCGCAAATTTTCGACATTCGCAAGGGAATCAAAACCTACAGGGTACTTCCCGTGATCTCAGAATCTTGAAATTTGGTACGAAACAACGTTTTATAGCACAGATGAAGGAAAAATTGCGAAAAGTATAAATTTTTAGTTACATCATATAATAAAAATATTTTTAATAATTACATCATATAATAAAAATATCTATATATACATATAATAAAACTGTAAATAGCAAAAGAAATTCGTATTGAGACTTACTGAAGAAATTTGTATCCATCGAAGCCATACAACGGAACCCGACCAAAAATAAAAATTTTGCAACGAAATGTCGTGATATTGTATTTATAATATACGCAAAATCTGTACTGTCATTTTAGCGCTTTGGGAACTAGATTTAGCGCTTTTTTGGAATGTATAGCGCGCATTTCGAAATTTTAGCACCTAGCTTAATCCAGCGCTTTTTGGTGTATTTAGCACACATTTCAATATTTTAGCGACTAGCAGGTTATTAACTCTTTTATAGCAGCACTGTTAGTCCACATTACCGATAATAATAATAATGACCTTTATTATTTTTTCCCACAAATAGTACATTGCAGTTTATCTTTTTCAAACATATTTTTTCCACAAAACAAAGAGCATGTGAGACGAGTCCAAACTAGGATACCCTGTGCTATGGATCTCCTGGCTTCCCCTTTAGGATGATCAACTTGATTTTTTTACCGACGACTATAAGCGGGGAAATCCCCTTCAGTTGCTTAGAGCACAGCTAAGTTAAAAGTTACTTAGAAGTTATAACACAAAGAAACTGTGTAGCAACCGCAATCAAATGCTGACATCTGAAACTAAGTTGCGAAATACATTGCACTTTAAAACAATTAATGACATTTTTATTGTTCGTACAGTACTAACTACTGTTGACAGCAATTGCCATAATTATAAGTCGATGTCCTGCGAAGTATTGATACATCAAAAAAATATTGCCAGAAAAAAAACTTAATGTTGTTTTCTTTATTATGATTATATAAAAAAACACAAACTTTGTTTGTAGTTAATTTAGCGCGAAATCTAGGGCTTTTTTAAAGCGCTGTTTTCATGAAATCTAGCGCTTTTTGTGTTGTCCTAGAGCTGAATGAGTTTTTTTTTTATCGGGCAGCACTGCCCAAAAACCCTCTAGTAAGAATTAACTTTCCTTTCAGTTTTTAGCGCGTTCAGTTCCCAGTTACAGTGAGCGTGTGTTATGCGATGACCGTAAATAAAGCGCAAGGTCAAACTTTACGCGTTGTAGGAGTGTACCTCAGTACTGACTGTTTTGCACATGGCCAACTCTATGTTGCTTTTTCCCGCGTTAGTAGCCCCCGTAACCTTTTTGTGTACACCCCGGCTAAGCCTACTTCTAACGTCGTTTACACAGAAGCTCTATCATAAACGACTTAGAACTTTGATGATAATGATTTATTTAGTTACCACTTATTGATACAGTAATGAAATAAATCGTTTAATATTCTCTTACCTAAACGACAAATTCTTTATGTAAAACCTGTATACGCGAGCTACGCCGCGGGCACAGCTAGTTTTTAATAATTTTAAACTTATATACCTACGGATTTGTTCGGAACCCTCGGTGCGCGAGTCCGACTCACACTTGGCCGGTTTTTTTTCATATTCTTGCATTTCCATCCGAATTTAAGCTACATATATTCAAAATTTCAAGTCTCCAGCTCTTCGGAAAGATAATTTAAAATCAATTACTTCATTTCCACCCGGAACGAGAGACAAACAAGAATGTGACTTAATAAAAACATGGTAACAATATCTATATAATCCCGCACGGAACAAGTATTTGTATGGCCTACAAATAATTGTTCTGGCTCTGGATGTTTGTCCTTGTGCAATTTATGTTTGTAAGCTGCCTCCACGATACAGGAGAAAATCCTAGTGTGGTGGTAATGTTTTAAAAAAAATATATGGTTTAAATCCCCACATCGACTGCGAAGAGAACTGATAAATATCATAAATTGATCCAGCCGTTTAAATAAACGGCTGGATCAATTTTCATCAAATATCTACGTTAAACGTAGATCGTAAGAGGCGACAGAGTGAAACTGAACCAGAAGATGCTCGGCGGTCTACTATTTTGTGATTTACTTGGGAGTTTTCTTCCTCGCTCGAATTTTTTTGGAATTGTTCAGCACCGGCGATTTTTCCGGACCGATACGTCTTAGGGACATTCAAGAAACGACCTTGTTTCTTTCTATAAAGCCGACAACTCACCTGAAATTCCCCTAGTGTTGCAGTTGTTCATGGGCGTTGGTCAGCACTTACCATCAGGGGAGCCGCATGTCCTACTGCCTCTCTTCTATAAAAAAGATAGGCAGCAGCATCTTGCTGATAACAGCTGAATAAAAATAAAAAAAAGTTCATCTAAAGCCAATGTAAAACGCTCAATAGTATGATGTGACATTCTCACGAATTTTGAAATGTGACCAATAAATAATTCTCATAGAATAAGCTGTGAATTTTGAGTGATTTTCAATGTTACTTTTTCAATAGCGTGTGGAGTGTATGTCAAGGCCATAAGTGTTATTATTACAGAAGTCGCAGGGAGGGTAATAATACGCTTGATTACTTGTTGTTTGCTTTACTAGCTTGTTTGCTTAGTTCACAACACGAATAGTCATTCAATAATTATTATTGAAATCGTTTTTATAATATCGCACAATGGTGGCAGCTTATCCCTACTACCTATCAAAACTGAACTTGCAACAGTTTGAATGTGTAAGAATTATACAATCCAAATACTTTTATAATATGAAAACAAGTAAAACACTGTTATAAATTCAGAATTCAGATGTCTCGTTCGAGTCTTGTAATTATGCTAATAGCTTGCCCTCCTTCCGTGATGAGCTTATTAATTTACTTACTCCTTGTAAAAATTTTTTAAATGTATGTCATGTTAATGCTCAGAGTATACCGAGTCATTACTCTTATTTTAAAGAAGTTTTTTCTATAGATTGTGTTCATGCAATCTTAGTATCAGAAAGTTGGCTAAAGCCTTCATTAATGTCCAGCATGTATCCCTTAAATAACTTTGTTCTTGCGCGTTACGAGCGGACTGAAAAAGGAGGTGGAGGTGTCGCCATATACCTGAGAGCAAATATTCCTTATAAAACAATTTTAGCTTCACCATCTCCTTATTCTGCCTCATTGGAGTTTCTGTTTCTGGAAATTGATATGAAAGGTGTAAGGGCAATTCTTGGGGTAGTATACTGTCCACCTGCTATTAACTTTTTCAACGCTTTTGAAAGTGCTCTCTCTACCATTTCATCTGAGTACACGCACTGCATAATAATGGGTGATTTCAATACTGATTTGTTGAGAAATTCTTCTCGTTCACAAAAATTTCGGTCATTCATAGAGTCGATCGATCTCCCTTAGAGGCAACTCACCACAACATTGACACTGATGACTTATGGATTGATCATATTATCACAGCTTCTCCCGATCACGTTATTAAGCACGGACAACTATCGGCTCCTGCTTTTTCACGACATGACCTTACTTATATATCATATAAGCTTGTGTCTCCTAAGCACAATCCCGCAGTACTATATATTCGTAATTTCGCTAAAATGGATTCTGATAAACTTAAAAGTATCGTATGGACTTAACCCCTGTTTTTAAATCAACTTCTATTGACGATAAAATCTCCGTGCTTAATAATATAGTTCTTAGTCTGTACAACAATCATGCTCCTAAACATCAAGTAAGAGTAAAGCGTCCACCAGCCCCGTGGATGACTAGGGCCGTAAAGGTGGCAATGACCAGGCGAGATCGAGCATTTGTGAAATTTTAGAAGCATCGTACTCAGGAGAGCTGGGATTGCTACAAAATGCTAAGAAACAGATGCGATCAGATGGTACGAAATGCTAAACGCCGTTATATCCATAGCAATATTACAAATTCTTCGACCGCCGATGTGTGGAAATTTCTTAAAACACTGGGTATTAGTAAGGCTGTTACATCTGATCATGGTCCATCAATCACTCTGGATGAAATAAATCATCATTTTATCTCTACTACTCCTTTGGATCCCACAGTTCGTTCTACAACAATAGCTTCCATTCAATCCATGCCTTCTCCTCCTATTCCATTTTTTCACTTTTTACCTGTGACTGAGGATGAGATCCAGAAATCAGTATTAGCTATTAAATCCAAGGCTGTGGGTTACGATGAGGTTAGTAAGGTAATGATATTCATGATCCTAGAGTGCCTTTTGCCTGCAATCACACACATTGTTAACTTTTCCCTCGACTCAGGCCAATATCCTACTCAGTGGAAAAAAGCATTTGTGCGACCACTTCCTAAAATACCTAATCCCTTATTACCTACCCATTTTAGACCAATTTCAATTTTGCCGTACCTATCTAAAGTTCTGGAAGCCTGTGTTCATAACCAAACATAACCTGCTGAATAAATATCAGTCAGGCTTTCGCGCAGGTCACAGTACTACCACTGCCTTGATAAAAGTCACAGATGACATTCGAATGGGAATGGATGAGCAGAAGCTTACAGTGGTAGTGCTTGTTGATTTTTCAAACGCTTTTAACACAGTCGACCACGATATCCTTATAGCCTTCCTAGCTAATCTTAGATTCTCAATCCCAGCTTTGGAATGGTTTTCATCCTATCTTCGCGGCAGCCAGCAATCAGTTCGATTAGGACAACAGTCTTCAACATGGGCTGACATTGAAACAGGCGTGCCGCAAGGCGGAATACTTTCTCCTATAATGTTTTCTCTATTTATAAATTCTATTACTTCAGTTCTCAACTGTTCGTACCATCTGTATGCAGATGATCTTCAGCTCTATGTGCAATCTAGTGTTAATGACCTTAACCATAATATTAACAAAATCAACCACAACCTTGATGCCATAAGAAATTGGTCGTACAGACATGGTGTTTCGGTTAACCCTTCCAAATGTAAGGTAATGGTTATAGGTAGTAGCAGAATATTAGCCAAGATTAATAACGATGATCTTTCTCCCGTATTTTACAATGGAACATTGCTGCCATTTTGTAAATCTGTTAAAAATCTTGGCTTACATATAGACCATACCTTAAGCTGGGGAGTTCAAGTTGCTGAAATAAGCCGTAAAGTTACTGCCACCTTACGTTCTCTTTGCCGTCTCAAAAACTTTCTGCCTTTTAAAACTAAACTTCTACTTGTCCAAACTTTGATATTACCCATTATTGATTATGTAGATGTGTTTTACCCAGATCTATCTCTATATCTTCTCGATAAGTTGGAGCACCTTCTCAACAATTGCATTAGGTTCATTTTCGGCTTACGTAAGTATGACCATGTTTCTCAGTACCGTTCTAAGCTTAAATGGCTTTCTATTCGTCAAAGGCGTAGCTCCCGAATTTTACAAGTACTATATTCAATTTTAAATGACCCAAACTCTCCTTCTTATCTTAAGGATAACTTTCAGTACCAATGTTCTACTCATGATAGAGTTCCCCGTTCCCAAAATAGTCTTAAAATTCGTATTTCACCACATAAGAGTGGTTTCTTTAATTCCATTTTTACTGTGCAGTCCATACTGCTCTGGAATGCCTTGCCTGTCCATATAAAAAAAACCAGTAACAAACAATATTTTAAAAGACTAGTTCGAGAATTCTTTAACAGGAATAATACCACCTGATTTATCCGATTTTTGTTTTTCTCCCTCTTTCGCTTTGTAATTGATATTTTGTATAATATGTATTTTAATATGCATCATGTTATTTTATTTTTGTGTTATATTATTTTATATTTATTTAGAGATTTTGTATATATAAGTATATTATATCCGTTTATATATTTTGTTTATATATCCGTTTATATATTTACTATTTTTTTTTCTTTATTACAAAGTAGATAATATTAAGTTTGTATAGTTTAAAAATATTTTATTTATTTACTTTTTGTGTGGTGTTGCACCTACCACAGCTTCTCAAATCATCCAGGGTTGACTGGTAGAGAATGCCACAAGGCATTAAGTCCGCCCTTTATATCCTTTATTATAAGGTAGATGTAAAAAAGAATAAATAAATAAAATAAATATTACTGATGAGTGAATTAATTACGAATGTTTAGAAGATGAAATTCTTAGTAAATTTCATAAAAATATATATTAAATTCTAAATTAGAAATAATGAGAAAATTATCAATGATAATTATTATGACAATTTAATGACTTTTATTATATTTTATATTTGATGATTAAAAATAATAATATAAAACAAAAACGATAATTATACAATTATTATTTAAAGAAATTATGTAACAATCATTGATAATATTATAATATATTTTGTATATCAGCATAGATATCTGTATTTTACATAAGTATTGAAATAATAATAATAATACAGCTTGCTTGATAGGTTGGAGCACGAATGGATTGGCTCGACCGGGGAAGCACGACGTTCTTACAGATACCAGCGTGAAATAGCAGCTAAACACTGTTCGTATGGTGACTGTAGAGAACCGGAGACCCTTATTACTCTGAAATGAGGCATTTCATCTTAGTGCTTAAAGGTGACAACGCTATGCATTTCGATTCTTAATTAAACATACATGTAGGTGCCTATGAGCCACAGCATCCACTTACCATCAGGTGAACTATGTGCTCGTTTGTCGCCCTTATTCTAAATACTAAAAAAATGTTTGTATATTTAAGTTCGTATAGGTAGGTAAAATTTAATGAATTATGATCGAATTTCTGCCACTAGGCGACCACTAGTGTACATAAACATTTTTGAAACGTTACCTCCACACTAGGATATTCTCCTGTATCGTGGGGACAGTTTTCGTACATAAATTTCACAAGGACAAACATCCCGACCCGGTACAATTTTTTGTAGGCCATACAAATACCTGTTGCGTTCGGGATTTCAACCCGCGGCTTTTAGCGCTGCAACTCATTGCTCTGCCACTGCGCCATGGATTCATCAGATACATATGTTTTGATAAATATTTGTTTGAAATACCAAGATGTATAACTGATTCTGAAAACTTGGATCAAATAATAATGTAAATTGTCTTCTTTGCAGGTACTATTTATGAGCCTTTTATGCGTCTTCAATGGGCGATCGACACTAGCTACTTGCAGCTGTTGCTGCAGGACGTTAATATTAACCAAGTGAGTATTGCGTACTTTTTTTATAGAATATGTGTGATAAACGAGCACCCAGTCCACTCTATGTAAGTGGATGCTGATAGCCCATAGACACCTACATGTATCCTCGATAAAGAATCAAAATGCAGATGCGTTGTCACCCCTGACGACTAAAATGGAATGCCTATTTTCCAGTAAAGAGGGTCTCCGGTTCTCTACACTCACCATACGAAACACAACAGTGTTAAGCTGCTATTTTACACTGGTATTCTGTGAGAGCGTGTTCCTACCCCGGCCGAGCCGACTCATTCGTGCTACAATCATATAACTACAGCGTGGCTCTACCACGTATAATCTTATCTACTTACTTACTACGTACTTGTTGAGTATAACAAATAATTTGACGGTTTAGTGGTTAATTTAACCTGGTCTAACCGTATGGTGACGGTGTAAGAATATCCACTACCCGATATCATCGTGTGGGTGTTGGAAGAGGCGACAGAGTGAAAATCCAGGAGATGGGCAGCAGCACCTTCTTCATAACAACTGAATAAAAATATCGAACTGCGGTTGCCAACCCTCTTACCATGCACGGCGACTATGGCAAATATCGATGAGAAAATCCCGTGTTTAGCAGTGGACTTTTAATAGGCTGTTATGGTATTGGTAATACCTGGTCTGAGTATCCAGGTTACTTAGTAATAACCTAATTCTTAACCCAATAGCAATGTATTTTTTATTATTAAAAAAGATTTGGTAAACTAAAGAACTAACACCTGTTATCGAATTAATATGTTGAAAGAAGCAACCAAAAAAAGTTACTATAAGTTAGTTATACAACGTAGAATGTTCCTTATTTAAACACATTTCTATTATTCTTTTTTTATAGAGTGAGAGTGACAAACGAACACTCAGTCCATCTGTTAGTAAGTGGATGCCTTGAAACATTGATATCCACATATTACATCCTCAATTAAGAATTAAAATGTAGATGCGTTGCCACCCCTGAGTACTAAGATGAAATGCTTCATTACCAGTTAAAAGGGTATCTGATACTCTACAGTCACCAAACGAAATACAACAGCAATAAGGTGCTCTTTTAGTCTGGTATTCTGTGAGAGAAGCGACCTTCCCCGGTCGAGCCGACCCATTCGCGCTGCAACCATAATATAACTGCAACGTGGCTCTATCAAGTTAAAAATTACTATGACTGCGAACCCTACTATATATACTATGTAATATTATGAAGAGAGAGTGCGAATTTTGTTTGTATATAATGGAGGGTATTTGAAAGGTGCGTTTACTCCAGACGGACATGATGATATTCGTCAACTAATTAAAATAATTGTGTCTCTTGAAAACTTTTACGGCGTGCGCGAGTCAATAGTTAAAGTTACACGAAAATAATATATGTCTATCTTCTAAGGATAACTCACAGTGAACGATTTTTATATAAAAACTATCGCGCACAAAATAATTATAGTGACGGTAGGTTTGATGATGGCGGAGATGTCAGCGCGGGAGCTATGTGGATGAGGAGACAACGAAACTTTAACTTTGACAGCGTATAGCGGCCATCTTGGTAAAGCGATACCTGTCAAATTTGAGAAATCTTATTTAGTCTTGACATTTCACCATGGAACTCTATACGCTTCTACAATGCATTGAAATTCGTAAAAATTTACTATCAAAATCAGTGCTCTGTTCGCCCAACGTTCCGTGCGTTGCGTCCAATTTATGGAATTCATGGCCGTCCTGCAGAGTCCACAATCCATCATTTAATGAATAAATTTGAGACAAACGGGTCGGTGATCGATGAAGCAGTGCCTATACGTCAAAGAAACGTTTTAGAGCATTTGGCGTCTGACACTGCTTTCGGTAAAAAATCATCTTCAGTGATGAAGCTAATTTCTGGTTGAGTGGCTTTGTTAACAAACAAAACTGCCGGTTTTGGGGCGATGAAAATCCACGGGACATTCATCAGGTGCCTCTACACTCCGAAAAATTCACCGTTTGGTGTGGATTTTGGTCTGGCGGTATCATCGGCCCTTATTTCTTCGAAAATGCGCGAAGAGCCACGTCAACTCTCACGGTGGTGACTTGAACTGGCCGTCGAGATCGTGTAACTTAACACTGCTCGTCTACTTTCTGTAGGACTACGTGAAATCTCTGGTCTATGCAGACAAACCACAGAAAATTTGAAGTTGAAATTCAAATGCAGTAAGACTCTGGAACATGTTACCCAGAAATATAAAAGAAGCAAAAACTAAACCTATCTTTAAACGTTTGCTCTGGGAATATTACTTAACGAAGCAGCAGTAGTTTCGGATAATAATAAAAAAATTTAAAGAACCTCGGAAACTGTTATATTCTCAAATATGTATAATATAAAAATATCATATTTATTTACTGTGTATGTATTTATTGTGGGTATTTGTGTACAAGTATAAAATACTATTGTATGCATGTAAGTAGTAATGTAAATGTATATGTATGTCTATTGTATTTATTATCATTATATTATAATTTTGTATTTTTTTTCCTTAAACCTTTAATTTTTTTTAATTTTTTTTTTAATTATGAGTTTTGCACCTATCACTAGATTCTCTGCACAAACCAAAGGTAGACTGGTAGAGAATGCCTTTAGGCATTAAGTCCGCCGTTTTGTACATTTCTTGTATGTGTGCAAATAAAGCTTAAATAAATAAAAAAAAAAAAAAAAATAAAATTGCTGCCCTGAAGGCCAACATAACTCACTTTCTTCATGAAATTGAGCCACATTTATGCGAAGACGTCATCCAAAATTGGTCTACTAGGATACACCATCTACCGCGCGGTCGCGGCGGCCATTTGGCTGAGATTATATTCCATACATAATGTCATCGATGTGTCCTTTAAAATAAAATGAAAATTATGGCAATATCACTTACACAGGTTGTTTTATTTCATTTCAAAGTTCTAGCGCTCTTAATGACAAAACGCATTATTAAAATTATTAAAAACAAAAAAAACGGACTTTACTGTCGTTAACTTAAGATTACTAATCTAGGAATGTCATATATGATTTCACAGACAGTAACACTGCAAGAGTTCCCGTACGTCAATATGAACGAAGATATAAATCAAGTTATTGTGATATTAAGTGGAGTGTTGGCCGTGATGTGCTGGCTCTCCCTGCTTCTAGTCTTCGTGTTCCTTATGTCACGTCTGCTGGAAGAACGCATTTCGGGTATAGAGGTATGTAGAAGACAATAGTCATAAACATGCCTTCTTTACTATATTGTCAATATTCTAAACATATAATTCACACTGAGCTTTTAATTGAATAAATGATAGTAATATCCTCGTCCTTTTTTTAATTAAAATGTCAAATTCGCTTTCCAACAGTGACTAGATGTGACTTGGAAATTGTACACATAAAATCGTAGAAAATTTACATACGAAAATAATACACACATTGTGTTATAGGCACTGTTGATCCGTTCCTTCATTATAAAATCCTCTTCCCCTTCGTCGTTCGTAAAGTTTAAACGTGTCTAAAGAACCATCCTATTTTGAAATTTTATATAAATTATCTAATTTAAGTGCAAAAAAACAAAACTCTAAAATAGGATCGCAGAAGAACAAAGTAACTGTTCAAACCGTGAGTGAAATTACTTTTTTACGCTATGCTTGCCTAGTACTTCTTAAGAAGCACAAGTGACTTAAGTTCGGCAGATATTCGGCTTTATTCGCTCTCATCTTGTTAATTAGCACCTCCCATAATGGACTAGCCCCTCCTACAAAATAAGCAACATTATTTTCGTTTACTACGAAGTTAATTAAATTTCTTTCACCGCATGGTCTCCTAGTACATAACAGTCAAATATATTACTAATTTGCCCTCAAAATTTTGCTGAAATTTTTGATTGGCACTTCCAACTATCAAACCATCCCACAAGATCAGCGCCATCTTTACTTACCACGGTTTAAACAGACCTCCTCTCAACGTATCATATCCTAGTACATATTGGCCAACATGAACAAGTCATTATCTGACTCAGAATTTGAAGTACCCACACAACACAATATTACTCCACCAAATTTTATATCAACCAGAAACAAGAGAAAAAGGAGTGATGATGGCGCTGCAAACCTTGCTTTACTAAGAGAAGAAATGACTAGTATGTTCAATACCTTAATAAATACTCAAAATCTTGAATTCCAAAAAAATGCGAATATACTCAGAGATATACAAAAAACAAATCAGAATATCGAAAGCTCGATCACTTTTCTGGCCGAGCAGAATAAGGAGTTTCAAAAACAAATAGAGAAGTTAGAGGAGCAGATAAAAGAAGATCGAAAATATATAACCATTTTAGAAGACAAAATTGAAGATATGCAAAAAGACAGACGCAAAGCAAATTTGGAAATTAAAAATGTACCAAAGAAGAAGTTGGAAGCGAAGCAAGACCTCATAGATATGGTTATAAATTTGTCGAACACCATTGGTTATTCAATCACGAAATCTGACATCAAAGATATTTACAGAGTCCGAGGAAAGAAAGATAATATTCAAAACACTCCTGTCATAGTAGAGACTTCCTCGACAATGCTAAAAAATGATTTTTTGAAAATGTGTAAAAATTTCAATACAAGAACAAAAACCAAGCTTTGTGCCAAACACCTGGGTCTGCGCACTGCTGAAGATACTCCTATTTTTGTTTCGGAACAGTTGACTGCTAAGGCTGCTCGTCTCTTCTTCCTCGCACGTGACATGGCTAAGATAAATTCTTATAAATTTTGTTGGACTGCGTATGGAAAGGTCTACGTGAGAAAAGAGGACAATTCGAAGATACTACTTATAAAAAATGAAGCTCAAATTCAACAACTGTTATCTGAGAAATGACTAGACTCGCTCTCATCAATCGCATGTGGCCGTTTCTACAGTATATTAAGATTTTGTTCTACCTTCTTTAGTTTTATAAATCCTAAGGTAAAATATTGTATAGATTTTGTTAATGTAAGAATCACACTATTACCCTCACTTACACATCATCTACCCACACACACTAACATCCGAAATATCAATCACTCAAACATACAACCTCTCCCGCACACATGTAGTCTGTTGATCCCAACAGACATACTACTCGTATACCAAAACAAACCGATTCCAATGTCACTACATAAAAACTTAAAAACCAATAAATTAAATTATAAATCAATTCACGTCCTACATACTAGTTATAACACATTATCGCATATTATACATCGAATCTCTTGATGGATAGCACATCTCAAATTTTGAAAGACATAGACGGAACTAATATAGCTAATTCCACCAGGTGTGACATACAGGATCTTACAAAATATGTAAATATTAACAGGAATGATCTAACAGTAATCTCGCAAAATATTTGAAGCATACACTGCAATTTTGATGACTTTCAAGCAACACTCTCACACTTAAATTTTGAAGTAGATGTCTTGGTGCTAACGGAGTGCAGACTAAACCAAAATAAACCTTTACCCACTTTACCTGGATATACGTTGCTTGCAAGTAAATTTAACCTTAATCAAAATGACGGAGTGGTGACCTATGTAAAGAGTAATCTTAAACCTACTATGCAAGAAGTGAAACTAGTTCATGCATCTTGCATTCAGATAAATATACTTGGCCATATTATTTTATGCATTTATCGCTCTCCGTCAAATTCAAATGCAACAAATTTTATAAATTCCCTAAACACTCACTTAGAAACCATCAAGACATATCATAACATAATGATTACAGGAGATATTAACATAAATTTAATTCCAAAACCTAATGAAGGATGCAATGAAAATAATAATAGATCTTTCTATTTAAATATGTTATCAACACATGGAATACTTTCTGGTCATTCTATACCAACTAGAGGCGAGAGCTGTCTGGATCATTTTATGTTGAAAATAGACCAAAACAAAATATCTCCGTTATAGCAATCTTAAATACCACAACTACTGATCACTACAGCATATTTATGAAAATTAGTAAAGTAAAACAAAAAACACATTGTTCAAAAAATGTAGAATTTATTGACTATAACGATGCTCTCACTACACTTATACAGAAAAATATCACAAGTTTGTTATTTTGTGAGGATCCTGATACATTGATCAAAACATTAATAAAATGGCTGTCTGAATCTCTAGAAGAACATAAAAGTTTAAAAATTCTTCCCAAATCCCAACGCACTATTAAGCCCTGGGTTACCTTAGGCATTTTGCGATGCATTAGGAATAGGAACAAAATGCAATTAAAACTACGTTCTGAACCACACAATGAAATTTTAAAGATCACTTACACAAGATATCGTAACTACTGTAATAATCTATTAAAAAAATTAAAACGAAAATACGAAAAACTACAATTAGCTAAAGTAACGAAAAATACAAAGTTATTATGGAAAACAATTAAAACTATAACTAATACAAATTCTGACAAAACATCAAACAATAATTTATTAAATGCTAAATCTACTCCGGAGGACTCTGTGAATCACGTAAATGATTTTTTTGCTAATATTGGACGAAAGTTGGCTGAGGACATACGAATCAGTAATTCCGATATCCAAAATGAATATGCATTGCCTAGACTTGCATCTCAACCTAGATCTTTTGTTCTATTGGATACTGATCCAGTGGAAGTAGATGAAATTATAACTAACCTCAGGCCCAACAGCGCTCCTGGCTGGGACAATATTTCTATTCAATTTATCAAATTAGCTAGAGCACACGTAGTTCCCGTAATTAGCCATTTAGCCAATCTTTGCTTTCATAAAGGCGTATTCCCAACACCTCTCAAAAAATCTATAGTTACGCCGGTGTATAAGGATGGGAAAAAAGATGACGTCAGCAATTACAGGCCTATTTCCGTACTACCCGCCATCTCAAAAATCATAGAAAAACTGATAAACCTTCGTCTAATAAACTACTTAGAGAAATACAACATTCTTTCAGAAACTCAATTCGGCTTTAGACGTGCAAAATCAACAGAGGATGCAGTCTTAGCTTTAACCTCCTTTATCATTAAGGAATTAGACCAAGGACAAAAATGTCTCACTGTTTTTCTTGACCTCAGAAAGGCATTTGATACTGTTAACTTCCCTATCCTTCTGCGTAAACTCGAAGCAACTGGCATGAGAGGGGTCCAATTAAAATTATTTGAAGACTACTTGCGAAATCGGAAGCAACAAGTGAAGATTGGGGACCATATAAGTGGAGAAGCTGAGGTTCTTTTCGGTGTTCCTCAGGGGAGTGTACTGGGCCCCACCTTGTTTCTCATTTACATAAACGATCTCACGAAGATGAACTTAGAAAATGGTCGGGTATTTTCCTATGCTGACGACACTGCATTGGTCTTCACGGGTTCAACTTGGGAATCAGTTTTTAGGAGCGCCGAACTTGGTCTTAGATCGGTTAATAATTGGCTACAGCATAACCTCCTCACTCTTAATGAATCTAAGACAAAATATATATGTTTTACGATCACCAATAGAACACAACCTGCTAGCAACATTGCTCTAAGAATTCATCAGTGTAGTTATAAAGATACTGCCAACTGTTCTTGTGCGGTGCTTGATAGAGTCCAATCTATTAAGTACTTAGGTGTTGTTTTGGACCAGCGACTAAGCTGGCATTCTCACATTGAATACACCAGCAACAGAGTAAGAAAATTAATATGGATATTTAAAAAACTTAGACATGCAACAACAAAAAAATTGATCACACAAATTTATATCACTATGGCACAATCTATAATAGGCTACTGCATCCCCGTTTGGGGAGGTGCAACAAAAACAAAATTTTTAGAAATTGAAAGAAGTCAGCGCAGCCTCCTTAAAGTAAAGTACTATAAACCCTTTAGATACCCCACTGAAGAACTCTATAAATTTTGTGAACTCCTGTCTGTGAGAAAATTGTACATTTTGTTGACTTCTCTAAAATTGCACAAAACATTACCATTTAGGTCTGAATTACTTCTACATAAGAGAACAAAACATAGAGTTGCAATAGCCAATATTATAAAAACTAAATTCGCCAAATGTCAATACTCTGCATATTCTGTATTCATTTATAATAAGTTAAATAGACAATTTGGTATTTTTCAATTAAAATCCTCCGTAATAAAGGAAACTGTAAGTAAATGGCTTTTAGAAATGACGAATGATGATATAGAATTAATGCTTCAAGAAACTAACTGAATTAAAAATACACTCACTCACTCTCACACACACACACACCCACACACACACTCTCACACACACACACCTACTTACACACACACACACACACACACACACACACACACACACACACACACACACACAACTCCGCATGTTTGCACACACTAATACTATTAAGACTATTGTTTTTCTTTTATTATTATTATTATTTTTTTTCTCAAATTTTAAAACTATTAAACTTGGTTATGGAAGAGCGGGGCCTCCTGGCACAAGTATATATAATACTTAAAAGGTTTGGCCCCAACCTTTGATTGTAAGAAAACAACTGTCATTGCTATTGAAATAAACATTTTTGATTTGATTTTTTGATAAAATTCTGATTAGATTCTAATTAAATAATTAATAGTGCGAAACGAATCTGCACGAAAAGAATTGCTTTTTCGATTGAAACTAGTTCCAAATTACACTGTCGTTTATAACAGGTTGCACAAAATATAGTTTTTATTTAGACACGATTTGGACGCTTGAAAATTTATACTTCTTGAAATTGTTTATGCTCGAAAATAAATATGCGCACACATGTAATACTCAATTAAATTATAAATTGAATGTATTTTCAAAATACGACATATGAATCGAGATAAAAATTATAATTTAATTGCCGGTAAAAAACTATAAATGTTAGCGTTCCAGTTTCTTTAAGCAATAACCATTTAATATTTTTTGATAATATGAAAGACATGTTATTGAATAAGATCAACATCAACTACTTTTTGGGGTTCCGTACCCGAAGGTTAACCATCGGGACCCTATTACTAAGGCTCCGCTGTCCGTCCGTCTGTCAGCGGGCTGTATCTCATGATTCGTAATAGGTATATATTTGAATTGTTCACAGAATGTGTATTTATTTCTGTTGCCGCTATAATAACAAATGATTAAAAAAAAACATGCGTGAGTGTCGTGGAACACTCGGTTGGATCGAAGTTCCTTATTATTGATAAGCGTATTATATTATTGATTAACAAATACAAATAAATGTATTATTAGCGTCCATTAAAACTAAGCGTCATTCAAAATAAAATACACTATGACACAAGGGGTAGTGACGAAAAAATCTCATCTTACACTTTTTAATCATCTAGCTCCCATCGTACCGTCCGATAAGGAACTTCGTTCCAATAAATTAAAAATGAAGGGGGCTCCCCTACTACGTACGTACGGAACCCTTCATGCGCGAGTCCGACTCGCACTTGGCTGGTTATTTATTCAGATCTATTATTTCTTTATAATAGAGAAAAATATTAAAATAAAGTAATCTTTTTGTCTACCGAATGCTGCACGCTTACTTAGTGCTGGACAAAACATGCATGCAGTGAAAAGGGGAGGAAATCCTCGTCTTAATAGCCTCCGGATCTGTACAAATAACTTTATTGGCTTCGTTTGTTTTTTTATATCAAATATTATTCTATCAGCATGACAGCTAGGGTTACATTATCGTTTGCAGGAATTAATAAAAATGTCGGGCGTGTCTGGCAACACGCTGGGCATCTCCCACTTCCTGAACGTCGTGCCAACGGGACTTATGTACTGCGTAGTCAACACCGCTCTTCTGACGGCCTCCGCAAACCCCCTCATACCTTCGTCCAATCCCTTGCTGATTGGTATCATATTGGCGCTGCATTTCGTCAGTGTAATCGCTATGGCTTTCGCTTGCAGCTACTTCGTCAAAAATAGTGAGTCATTATTCATTTTACCTACCACGTTTTTTTTTATAGGATTGTCGTTTGTCACCCAACGAGCACACAGTTCACCTGATGGTAACTGGTTGCTGTGACCCATAGACATCTACATTTATCCTCAATAAAGAATCAAAATGCAGATGCGTCGTCAAAATGGGTCTCCGGTTCTCTACACTCACCATACGAAAAACAGCAGTGTCAAGTTGCCATTTTACGCTGGTATTCTGTGAGAGCGTGGTCCTTCCCCGGTCGAGCCGACCCATTCGTGCTACAACTATACTACTAATATAGCTGCAGCATGGCTCTACCACGTATAAATGTATACATAATATATTTATATTTTATATATAATTCTTCTGTCCGTGTTTAAGTTGATTCGAGAATGACTTAAATTCACAATTGGACCAGGCAGGTGGCGCTATTGTCGAGATCCTGAAATCACCCGTGCAAAGCCGGGGCGGACCGCTAGTTTTTTTTTTCTAATATTGAAGTGACAAACGCACTTACAGTCCACCTTATGGTAAGTGGCCACTGCAGCCATGGACACCACCATCCAGCTTCATACAAAGAAGGCTACAGATTCTAAGCCAGCGCTTGACTACTATCCCTCCCACCTGAAACAAGTGGTGATGCAGCCGAAGATGGTGAAGCGCGTTGGCTTAACAAAAGTCTGTTCACTCTTACCTTGAAGACACCCACGTGTAATCGGATGAAAAGACCGGGACACAACTGTACACGCACTGCTATTTGGCGGTGGAAATAAGCAAAACATGGATAAGACCCAAATGGACCCCTAGGCAGTAATTTATAGCATGTATATAGCTTTAAATATCCTTCATATTTGAACCGCGTTGATGCATTGCAAAACCATCGTATAGGTTGTTTGAGCCTAAGGAGCTTTTTCACCTCCTTTATCATTATCAGTCCGTAGGAGTACACTGCTGGACATGAGCCTCTTCCGTTGTAAAGCGGATGGACAATAATCTGTACGTTTGACGGGCGGATTGTCGACCGTAATATTAGATATCTCGCACATTCGACGCTGCTCGCCGTCGCTGCTCTGGAACTTAAAAACGCACCCTCGTATATCTGGTTCACAATATACGGTGTACGGCTCATATATAACAAGTCATGACTTTAGGAATTTTACATCTGGTTTATACTAGATGGCGTATGGAACATCTACCGCAAATCGCTGGTGATGAGATTTTTAAATGCTAAAAAAGTCTATGTTAATATCAGTCAGTTATCCATGAGATTTAAAGGGTTGTATTTTTTATCGTAATGTCGCCAAAATGGTGTCATTCTTTGGTTTGTTTTTTGTTGCAACCGACTTTGAATTTAAGTTCAGTATTTAATTACAAGTATATATATATATATATATATATATATATATATATATATATATATATATATACGACGTTTTTGGAACTGCTATGGGGCTTGGCATCCGGTCAGGTCTCAACTCCTTTATCTGCGAAGCCCACAGCCTTGAAGTTTGGCCCCATTTCATATTTATGTTTCTGGATGAAGTTTTAGTTTATCATTAATTTTTGAAAGAAGGTTTTATATATATATATATATATATATATATATATATATATATATATATATATAATGTGTGTGTGTGAGTATATGTTGAGAGACAAGAGAGAGATTTGTTTGTTTGCGCGATGTGTACAGCCCAGTACGCGGTGACGTTGTCGTTGTTCGTGTACGTGGCGCTGTGGGTGCCGTCAAGACTGGCGGCCGAGCACGTGCCGCGGTCGCTGCGTGCGCTGGCCGGCCTGCTGCCGCACGCCCCGCTGCGCGCCTTCTGGGAGGAGCTCGCCACGCTCGAGCGCTTCGGTGAGCAGCACTACAGTACTACAGCACTATAGCATAGCACCGTCCCCGCTGCGTGCGCGGGCCGGCCTGCTGCCGCACGCCCCGCTGCGCGCCTTCTGGGAGGAGCTCGCCACGCTCGAGCGCTTCGGTGAGCAGCACTACAGTACTACAGCACTATAGCATAGCACCGTCCCCGCTGCGTGCGCTGGCCGGCCTGCTGCCGCACGCCCCGCTGCGCGCCTTCTGGGAGGAGCTCGCCACGCTCGAGCGCTTCGGTGAGCAGCACTACAGTACTACAGCACTATAGCATAGCACCGTCCCCGCTGCGTGCGCTGGCCGGCCTGCTGCCGCACGCCCCGCTGCGCGCCTTCTGGGAGGAGCTCGCCACGCTCGAGCGCTTCGGTGAGCAGCACTACAGTACTACAGCACTATAGCATAGCACCGTCCCCGCTGCGTGCGCTGGCCGGCCTGCTGCCGCACGCCCCGCTGCGCGCCTTCTGGGAGGAGCTCGCCACGCTCGAGCGCTTCGGTGAGCAGCACTACAGTACTACAGCACTATAGCATAGCACCGTCCCCGCTGCGTGCGCTGGCCGGCCTGCTGCCGCACGCCCCGCTGCGCGCCTTCTGGGAGGAGCTCGCCACGCTCGAGCGCTTCGGTGAGCAGCACTACAGTACTACAGCACTATAGCATAGCACCGTCCCCGCTGCGTGCGCTGGCCGGCCTGCTGCCGCACGCCCCGCTGCGCGCCTTCTGGGAGGAGCTCGCCACGCTCGAGCGCTTCGGTGAGCAGCACTACAGTACTACAGCACTATAGCATAGCACCGTCCCCGCTGCGTGCGCTGGCCGGCCTGCTGCCGCACGCCCCGCTGCGCGCCTTCTGGGAGGAGCTCGCCACGCTCGAGCGCTTCGGTGAGCAGCACTACAGTACTACAGCACTATAGCATAGCACCGTCCCCGCTGCGTGCGCTGGCCGGCCTGCTGCCGCACGCCCCGCTGCGCGCCTTCTGGGAGGAGCTCGCCACGCTCGAGCGCTTCGGTGAGCAGCACTACAGTACTACAGCACTATAGCATAGCACCGTCCCCGCTGCGTGCGCTGGCCGGCCTGCTGCCGCACGCCCCGCTGCGCGCCTTCTGGGAGGAGCTCGCCACGCTCGAGCGCTTCGGTGAGCAGCACTACAGTACTACAGCACTATAGCATAGCACCGTCCCCGCTGCGTGCGCGGGCCGGCCTGCTGCCGCACGCCCCGCTGCGCGCCTTCTGGGAGGAGCTCGCCACGCTCGAGCGCTTCGGTGAGCAGCACTACAGTACTACAGCACTATAGCATAGCACCGTCCCCGCTGCGTGCGCTGGCCGGCCTGCTGCCGCACGCCCCGCTGCGCGCCTTCTGGGAGGAGCTCGCCACGCTCGAGCGCTTCGGTGAGCAGCACTACAGTACTACAGCACTATAGCATAGCACCGTCCCCGCTGCGTGCGCTGGCCGGCCTGCTGCCGCACGCCCCGCTGCGCGCCTTCTGGGAGGAGCTCGCCACGCTCGAGCGCTTCGGTGAGCAGCACTACAGTACTACAGCACTATAGCATAGCACCGTCCCCGCTGCGTGCGCTGGCCGGCCTGCTGCCGCACGCCCCGCTGCGCGCCTTCTGGGAGGAGCTCGCCACGCTCGAGCGCTTCGGTGAGCAGCACTACAGTACTACAGCACTATAGCATAGCACCGTCCCCGCTGCGTGCGCTGGCCGGCCTGCTGCCGCACGCCCCGCTGCGCGCCTTCTGGGAGGAGCTCGCCACGCTCGAGCGCTTCGGTGAGCAGCACTACAGTACTACAGCACTATAGCATAGCACCGTCCCCGCTGCGTGCGCTGGCCGGCCTGCTGCCGCACGCCCCGCTGCGCGCCTTCTGGGAGGAGCTCGCCACGCTCGAGCGCTTCGGTGAGCAGCACTACAGTACTACAGCACTATAGCATAGCACCGTCCCCGCTGCGTGCGCTGGCCGGCCTGCTGCCGCACGCCCCGCTGCGCGCCTTCTGGGAGGAGCTCGCCACGCTCGAGCGCTTCGGTGAGCAGCACTACAGTACTACAGCACTATAGCATAGCACCGTCCCCGCTGCGTGCGCTGGCCGGCCTGCTGCCGCACGCCCCGCTGCGCGCCTTCTGGGAGGAGCTCGCCACGCTCGAGCGCTTCGGTGAGCAGCACTACAGTACTACAGCACTATAGCATAGCACCGTCCCCGCTGCGTGCGCTGGCCGGCCTGCTGCCGCACGCCCCGCTGAGCGCCTTCTGGGAGGAGCTCGCCACGCTCGAGCGCTTCGGTGAGCAGCACTACAGTACTACAGCACTATAGCATAGCACCGTCCCCGCTGCGTGCGCTGGCCGGCCTGCTGCCGCACGCCCCGCTGCGCGCCTTCTGGGAGGAGCTCGCCACGCTCGAGCGCTTCGGTGAGCAGCACTACAGTACTACAGCACTATAGCATAGCACCGTCCCCGCTGCGTGCGCTGGCCGGCCTGCTGCCGCACGCCCCGCTGCGCGCCTTCTGGGAGGAGCTCGCCACGCTCGAGCGCTTCGGTGAGCAGCACTACAGTACTACAGCACTATAGCATAGCACCGTCCCCGCTGCGTGCGCTGGCCGGCCTGCTGCCGCACGCCCCGCTGCGCGCCTTCTGGGAGGAGCTCGCCACGCTCGAGCGCTTCGGTGAGCAGCACTACAGTACTACAGCACTATAGCATAGCACCGTCCCCGCTGCGTGCGCTGGCCGGCCTGCTGCCGCACGCCCCGCTGCGCGCCTTCTGGGAGGAGCTCGCCACGCTCGAGCGCTTCGGTGAGCAGCACTACAGTACTACAGCACTATAGCATAGCACCGTCCCCGCTGCGTGCGCTGGCCGGCCTGCTGCCGCACGCCCCGCTGCGCGCCTTCTGGGAGGAGCTCGCCACGCTCGAGCGCTTCGGTGAGCAGCACTACAGTACTACAGCACTATAGCATAGCACCGTCCCCGCTGCGTGCGCTGGCCGGCCTGCTGCCGCACGCCCCGCTGCGCGCCTTCTGGGAGGAGCTCGCCACGCTCGAGCGCTTCGGTGAGCAGCACTACAGTACTACAGCACTATAGCATAGCACCGTCCCCGCTGCGTGCGCTGGCCGGCCTGCTGCCGCACGCCCCGCTGCGCGCCTTCTGGGAGGAGCTCGCCACGCTCGAGCGCTTCGGTGAGCAGCACTACAGTACTACAGCACTATAGCATAGCACCGTCCCCGCTGCGTGCGCTGGCCGGCCTGCTGCCGCACGCCCCGCTGCGCGCCTTCTGGGAGGAGCTCGCCACGCTCGAGCGCTTCGGTGAGCAGCACTACAGTACTACAGCACTATAGCATAGCACCGTCCCCGCTGCGTGCGCTGGCCGGCCTGCTGCCGCACGCCCCGCTGCGCGCCTTCTGGGAGGAGCTCGCCACGCTCGAGCGCTTCGGTGAGCAGCACTACAGTACTACAGCACTATAGCATAGCACCGTCCCCGCTGCGTGCGCTGGCCGGCCTGCTGCCGCACGCCCCGCTGCGCGCCTTCTGGGAGGAGCTCGCCACGCTCGAGCGCTTCGGTGAGCAGCACTACAGTACTACAGCACTATAGCATAGCACCGTCCCCGCTGCGTGCGCTGGCCGGCCTGCTGCCGCACGCCCCGCTGCGCGCCTTCTGGGAGGAGCTCGCCACGCTCGAGCGCTTCGGTGAGCAGCACTACAGTACTACAGCACTATAGCATAGCACCGTCCCCGCTGCGTGCGCTGGCCGGCCTGCTGCCGCACGCCCCGCTGAGCGCCTTCTGGGAGGAGCTCGCCACGCTCGAGCGCTTCGGTGAGCAGCACTACAGTACTACAGCACTATAGCATAGCACCGTCCCCGCTGCGTGCGCTGGCCGGCCTGCTGCCGCACGCCCCGCTGCGCGCCTTCTGGGAGGAGCTCGCCACGCTCGAGCGCTTCGGTGAGCAGCACTACAGTACTACAGCACTATAGCATAGCACCGTCCCCGCTGCGTGCGCTGGCCGGCCTGCTGCCGCACGCCCCGCTGCGCGCCTTCTGGGAGGAGCTCGCCACGCTCGAGCGCTTCGGTGAGCAGCACTACAGTACTACAGCACTATAGCATAGCACCGTCCCCGCTGCGTGCGCTGGCCGGCCTGCTGCCGCACGCCCCGCTGCGCGCCTTCTGGGAGGAGCTCGCCACGCTCGAGCGCTTCGGTGAGCAGCACTACAGTACTACAGCACTATAGCATAGCACCGTCCCCGCTGCGTGCGCTGGCCGGCCTGCTGCCGCACGCCCCGCTGCGCGCCTTCTGGGAGGAGCTCGCCACGCTCGAGCGCTTCGGTGAGCAGCACTACAGTACTACAGCACTATAGCATAGCACCGTCCCCGCTGCGTGCGCTGGCCGGCCTGCTGCCGCACGCCCCGCTGCGCGCCTTCTGGGAGGAGCTCGCCACGCTCGAGCGCTTCGGTGAGCAGCACTACAGTACTACAGCACTATAGCATAGCACCGTCCCCGCTGCGTGCGCTAGACTATTACTAATATGAAAATTAAAACTCCAAAAAGACTAGAAATTCTGTTAATACTCAATTGAACCACTCCAATTAAGCTTCATATAAATAAGTGTCCGCCTTGTTTTAGGTATAAATAAAAGTACCTTTGTTTCTTTATAAATTATAATGAGCCATACCATCATTTAATCTTCCAGGTCAAGGCTTAACATTCAGCAACATGGCTACAACGCACGGCGCCAATAGCTTTTCCGTGCTGTTGTCTATGCTGTTCTTTATCGTGCAGAGCGCCGTCTTCTTCCTGCTCGCCTGGTACCTCTCCCATGTCAACCCTGGACCCTACGGGCAAGCCTTGCCTTGGGGCTTTATTTTTCAGGTAATTTCTAAAGTTGAAGTTACAGCATATATACGTCATACTGCTGGGCACAGGCCTCCCCTCATTTCTGGGAGGGTTTTTGAGAGGGGCCTAGATGGTTAGTGTTCGCTGGAAGCTTCACAGTACGTGAGCAAAACGGGTTCGTTCGCCGCCGGCACTAATGAATTTGCTAATTGCAATTTTAATTGCTGATTTATTATGTGCTCGATCACGAGTCTGAGGAAACATGCAAGTCAGAAAAGTTAAAAAAAAATATTTCGAAAACATGCAAAGTCCGCCAAAACTCATTCAGGCAGTGCGGGAGACACTTTCTTGGCCTAATAAACCTCTCAGAAATAAGTAGAGCCTTGTGTCCAGTGTAGGACCCCCCACCACATGGTAATCTTGCATTATACTAGAATGTTTTATCAGACACAACATCTGTTTATACTACAAAAAAAAAGTGAAGGCAAATTGTTGTAAAATATCTATCGCTTTTTTAATACAGCGACAGTATTGGAATCAGAAGAAGATAACACCGGAGACAGAGTTCGAAGAATCGGAAGAACCCATCACGCAAGATCCGCTGTTCTTTGAGGAAGCGCCAAAAAACCTAGAAGCCGGAATCAAAATTGTTAACGTGACCAAGGTAATGTTGCGTCTTTATTTTTGTAACCTTTCACTTTAAAGTGCCGCTGGGTTTTCTGCTGGTTCTTAGGACAAAGGCTTTTTTCCGAACTGTGACTCACATAACTCAATAAAAGTGGATTGCGGAGGCCCGTCTGGCTACGCTGAATGTATGTGGAGCAATGAATGATAAGATGGATGAAATATGCGAAATGATGAATGATAGAGGAATAGATGTGTTATGTGTGAACGAAACGAAACGAAAGGGAAGAGATGTCACTGCACATGGCATGTATACCGCTTACTGGTCTAGAGTAGACGAGACTGAGCGGGCATGCCAGGGAGTCGGGGTCATCCTTTCAGAAAGAATGGGTCAATGTGTGAAAGAGTATGAATGTGTTAGCCCAAGGCTGCTGTGGATACGAATGAAAGTGGGCTTAAAGAAGTTGTTTGTGCTAAGTGTAAGTTTTGGGACATGGTAAAGGTTTTGGGACATGGCTGGTGTTGATGAAATGTAAGGAAAATGAAAATATTATTATGTTAGCAGATTTTAATGGAAGGGTTGGGGTGAAGAGGTCTGGTTATGAAAGGATATTAGGAACGTTTGGCGATGAAAGAATAAATGAGAATGGTGAAAACCTCCTCACCGTATGTGTGGAAAAGAATATTTTTGTGGCGAACACTTTCTTTCGCCATAAGAGGATTCACATGTATACATGGGAAAGAGGGGATGATAGAAGCATGATAGATTTTATAATTGTAGATGAAAGAATGAGGAGCGCAGTGGTAGATACAAGGGTTTACCGGGGGTCCAACGTAGGGACGGATCATTACTTGGTCTTATGCCGAATTAATGGTCTATTCAGACGTTGGCGGCATCGGACATCTGTGTCTACCACTGCGTTACAGCTTATAAGAATAGAGAGGTTACAAGATGAAGGTGTGAAAGAGAAGTATAAATGCAGACTGAGGGAAAATATAGGTGGGTTGAATGAATTATGTATGAATGATTTAGAATTGAAGAATGTATGGAATAATATTAAGAAAGTTTTGGTGGATGCAGCCACCGAAGTATGTTGTGTAAGTAAGAGAACGAATGAAAGGAAAAGTAATACGTTGCGGTGGGATGATGAGGTACGGATGGAAGTTGAAGCAAAGAAGAGAGCATGGCTAGATTTACTAGCAACTAAAGCTGGTAATTCTGGCGGTATGAATGATGAGATTGAAAGAAAAAAGGCAGATTTTAGACGTATAAATAAGAGAGTAAAAGAAGTTTTTGAAAGGAAAAAGCAAGAAAGGATAGATAAAAATGATAGAAGGATATCTGATAACTTCCAGGAAAATATTAAAATGTTCTGGAAGCTCGTAAGAACTGCCAGGGGAAATTCAAAACAGTCTAGAATGAATGCTATACGAGACGAGAATGGCTGCATGTTGAATGATGAAGTTTCGAATTTAAAGAGATGGAAGGAATACTTTGAAAGCGTGTTTAAGAGTGAAGAGTCGTCTGAAGTAAGTGAAATAGAAATTGAATAAGTGGAGAGAGGTAGGGAGATAAGTGTAGATGAAATATTGATAGCAGGTAAGGCAGCCGGATATGATAGAGTATCACTCGAAATGCTAAGGGCTGTTGAGGGTGTGGTTGCAGGCCTGCTGTACACCTTATTTAATTTATGTTGGGAACTGAAGCGGGTACCGGAAGACTGGTGCAAAGCCGTTATAGTCCCAATATATAAGGGAAGGGGGTCGCAGCAGGACTGTAAAAACTACCGTGGTATCAGCTTGCTTAGCATTGTGCGTAAACTGTATGCTAAGGTGTTAATTAAAGAAAGAGTTATGGAAGAAACTGATGGAAAAATTTGGGATGTGCAGGGAATGGGGTGTACGGATCAAGTCTTTTCCATGCGCATGATAGCGGAGAAGTTTTTGGCCAAAAACCAGAAAGTTTTTTGTGCGTTCATGGACTTGGAAAAGGCTTATCACAGAGTGGACAGGAATGTGTTATGGCAAACACTGAACTCATTTGGGTTGAGCGCTGGCTTGATACATGCATTAAGGTCTCTTTATAGGGACTCTAGTGCTTGTGTCAGGATCAACGGGGTCTACTCGGACTGGTTTGGCATTCATAAAGGTGTCAGACAGGGATGTGTGACTTCCCCGTGGCTGTTTAACCTATTTATGGATAGTTGTTTGCAAACTTTGAAAGTTGAAGAATGTGGGTTGAGAATGGGTGAGTCAACCGTCAAATGCCTTTTGTACGCCGATGATCAAGTCATATTTATGAACGCCCGACGTGGTTTACTTCTTGCCTCATAAAACTAGAAAAGGAAAAGCTTAAGTATCATAATAAATTGAAACTTAATAATAACTTACGAGACTACCAGACCTTCTCTTGTCTTCGGAAGAGGTTTAAGAGGATGGAGGCAGAATGTTATAAAAAATTCATTGAACTTTCTGAGGATAATATCAAAGCCAGTCCAAAGTTATTTTGGTCTTTCGTAAAGTCGAAAAAAGGTTCTAGTTGCATTCCTGAAAAAATGATATATAAAGGTAAAATTATTTCCACAGGCGGTGAGATATGCGAGGCTTTTAATGATTATTTTCATTCAGTCTTCATCCCTTCTACCCGTCAAAGTTCTGATCATACAATTCCTTACTCAGGCAGTTCAGCCGTAGACATACACTCTATTAACATCTACCACGATAATGTTATCAAAGAACTGAAACAAGTAAATATTCATAAAGGTGCAGGGCCCGACGGGATCCATCCTCTTCTCATATCCGAATGTGCCAAAGAACTCGCAATACCTATTACAATCATATTTCGTTTCTCTCTCCAAACTGGGGCATTTCCCAGTTTATGGAAAGAGTCTAGTAACCCCCATTCCAAAAAATAAGAGACGTGAATGTATAGACGAATACAGACCCATATCAAAACTTTGTATCTTTGGCAAAATCCTAGAAAAGATAGTAACCGCTCAAATGTCATACTCGTTTCGCAATCACATTTCCCAGGAACAACATGGTTTCTTTAAGTGCCGTAGCGTAGACACTAATATGTTAACTTTTAGTGACTTTCTGTTGCGTGCCATGGATGGTAACCTACAGGTGGATGCCGTTTACACCGACTTTTCCAAAGCTTTCGATAAAATAAATCACGATCTGTTAATAAAGAAGCTTGCGAGGGCCGGTGTGCATGGTAGCCTCCTTAGATGGATCCAATCCTACATAAGTAATAGGAGTCAAGCAGTCTTTGTAAAGGGTTATTCCTCACGATTTCTTCCAGTGCCTTCTGGTGTGCCTCAAGGGTCTCATATTGGACCTTTACTGTTTTCAGTCTACATAAATGACATTGGTAATGTCCTGAAACATAGTCACCATCTCTTGTATGCTGATGATACTAAGTTGTATAGAATCATCAGATCAATTAGTGACTGCCACAAATTACAAGAAGACTTACACCGATTACATGCATACTGTGAGTCCAACCATCTGTTCCTAAACAGCGATAAAAGCTACACAATATCGTATACTCGCAAAAAAAATCCAGTTACTTACGACTACCACATAAATCAGAGGGCCTTGAATAGAGTAACCACAATCAGGGACTTAGGCATAATTATGGATTCGAACTTATCATTTATTCCACACATTGATCACATATTAGCTTTGGCTTTTAGAAATCTAGGTTTTATACTACGAATAAGTAAACCCTTTAAACGTCTCGAAACTCTAAAAATTTTATATTTCTCTTTTGTCAGATCTTTCCTTGATTTTTGCAGCACTGTTTGGAGCCCTTGTTATGAAGTTCATATTAGGAGAATAGAAAGAGTCCAGAAATTGTTTATTAAATCCCTAAATTATCGCCAAAATATTTTAAATCAGTCATACACCGATTCATTAAAAAAGTACAATTTACTTTCTCTTTGCAATAGGCGTAAAATGTTTGACATAGTATTTCTATACAAAATTATTAATAACTTAGTCGACTCCTCGTTGTTACTTAGCAGATTGTCATTTGTCTCCAAAGTCCGTCTGCCAGTGCGCTCCTCACGTCCAAAACCACTTTTTGTAACTCCACGATATCATAAAAATTATACACGTAACTCATTTGTGTAACGTTCCACTAACATCTACAATAAAAAATTCACAGATATTGATTTATTTAATACATCAGTATCAAAGTTTAAATCCGCTCTCTTTCAATGTTTGGTTTGTGAATAATCTAGTTACCCATCGCTGAAAATGATGCAGCACTCAATTCGGTAATTGAATCTGAATTGAATCTGTCAGTGTTATAATAATCAGATTTTTAACATAGGTTTTTCTTCTGTATTTTCCTTACTTGGACACCAAATGTTAACTAGTTACCTTATCTTAAGAACTTAGTGTATTAATAAATTAATTAATTTATTATGTCCTTTAGTCCTAAAAGTAGCTCAATAAGTTTAAATATTGTAAAAGTTTAGTTAAAGGCACTATAGGTCTTTAGTTATATTAATATTTATCCATGTTACTATCTTTATACATGACTGTTTGTTGCCTTAAATAAATAAAAAATAAATATTTGCATCGTCGGCGGCCGAGTTGCAAATGATGGTTACTTTAATGAATTGGTCATTGAAAGAAAGGGGTATGAAAGTGAACGCAAGTAAGACGAAAGTGATGGTTTTTGAAAGAGAAGAAAGTAAAACTTTATGTGAAATAAGAATAGAAGGGGAGTTGATTGAGCAAGTGGATGAGTTTGTATATTTGGGATGTTTATTTAGCAGGGATGGTAGATATGATAAGGATATAGAACGACGAGTGAACGCAGGAAATAGAGTGAATGGGGCTCTACACGCTATTATAAGGAGTCAGAATGTGTCAACTAAGGCACGTATGGCAATTCATAATGCTGTGTTAGTCCCTACTTTAATGTATGGTAGTGAAAGTTGGGTCTGGCAGAAGAAGCATGAGAGTAGAATAAATGCTGTAGAAATTTTTCCTTAAGGAGTATACTAGGGCTGAATCTAAATGACAAGGTGAGAAATAGTGTGATAAGAGAAAAGTGTGATTTGCAAGAAGACGTTGTGACAAGGATTAAGAAAGGAATGCTTCGGTGGTTTGCTCATGTAGAAAGAATGAACGAGGAAAGAGTGACAAAGCAAATTTATGTTGCAGAAGTGAACGGCAGGGTCGGGAAGGGACGCCCTAGACGAAGGTTTATCGACCAAGTCGGTCGATAATCAATCGACAAAAATACATTAAAAATGGGCCAATTTAGGAGTAGCCTTAATCGACGAGCGTGTATGCGTAGATATATGGATGTAAAAGAGGCGAGAGAGGTGTGTCAGGATCGCGCTAAATGGAAGTCCGTAGTCTCTGCCTACCCCTCTGGGTGACAGGCGTGAGTGTTTTATGTATGTATTATATGAATAAGAAAATATCATCAAATCATCTTCGCATAATAAATCTAATATCTCAACTCTGGCGCGTCCTTAGCGCGTCATCGAAAATCAGTTCACTGGGCGCCGTGGATGGATAGACGACTCCCGTCATCAGGGTCGTAAGTGCGCGCGTCATAAGTGATTAGCGGGAAAAGTAGTGCAGTGCAACATGAACGATTCTGACTGATTTACCTAGTGCGAATAATTACATACAATTGTTGATTAGTGAATAATTATTTACCTTTTTTTATTTTAGTAATATAAAATTCCAAATAATAAATGTGTTTTTTTTTTACTTAAGGTATGAAGAGCAATTTTTCATTTTGTGTTGTGCTATTTTCTTTCTCAGTCTCAAAATCATCTGGCAGCATCAGCGTCATATCCAACCCCCATTGTCATAAGAGCGTTAGACTTTTCTTCTGTGCTTCACTTGGCCTACGCATAAAATATTTTGATTCGATGTCTGTATATTTTGGTTAGATCGATTTCGAAAACGATACACAACGTGTAACACGGCTACATCTCTAAGAAAGTTTCAAAAAGAAAGGTCAGCTACGCCGTTGTCGTCCAGTCGTGACAGTGACGTCATCACGATGGAGAGTAGTGCTGTGGTTTACTACTATTTTATTGATATTGTTTGCTTTTTATTTATGTACAAATACATATATAAAAAGAGTGGAAGACAACATAAGATTAAATAAAACATACCAGATTATAAAGAGTCATTTATTGCATAAAAAACTAACAAAAACAAGTTATTTTGTGTATATGTTAACTCTTGGCAACACTATTATTTTCGTAGGTATTTTTGTTTACTTTTCGCTTTGGCGTACAGGACACTGTAATGCGTTTTTGGCGTAGCGGTCAAAAGGTTAATGCTACAACGATAATATAGGCTGGGTTGCCGTAGCCACTTTACTTTTTTATTGCTATCTCAGTCTGTGTCCTCTGCTGGAAGCATAAAGCGTCTCCCACATACAAGCGGCTTGCGGTGGCGGCTAACCGCGAGCCACGGCTCCAGCCGTTGCAACAACGCACCACCGCGGCCGGAGTGGCGGCCTGAAGCGCCATTCGCTGTGGTGTCTGTGCTAAGATCGAACGTTTGTAAACATGACAAACCGTGACGAAGTTTTGTTATATTCAGCAATATTATCATATATTTTGTTTTTATTCCTAATGCTTTTGTGATCACGATGCGAATTATCATAAAGTACTGGATAATTTTGCACTCTTTCTATTAAAATATCTGAATATAGCACTATTTTTCACGCGGTACACGCGGCCTGTTGTAAAAATTTGCAAGTGACCGCGCTGCGGCCACCGACTGACCGCACGGACCACACACACGCGCGCGTTGGCAGAAGGGGCGGAGCATGCAGCCGCGGCCAGCCGCTGGCAGGCCGCGCCATGGTCGCACGGGTTTGCAAGGGAATACAACTGGCCGCCACCGCAAGCCGCTTCTGGGTGGGAGACGCTTAAAGGAATTCATCAACTCTTTACCATCTGCAGATGTCGTACGAGTCGACAAACATTAGCCAAAAAGATGTCATAGCCTCCTATATGTATATATAAATGGAAATATATCCATCTCGTATAAACTGTGAAACAGAATACGCATCAGTATAAAATATGTATATCATGGTAAAGCACTATGTCTATCATGGCAAGTGGCTAGAACATCCCACGCATACCTTAAACCTACTCATATTATGATTGCAGATGCTCCACTATCCCTCACAGTCTAATTATACTACATCTAATATAATATTGGATTTATCTTTTAACCAAATCTGGGTAGAAACTCGGGTGAGTTATACTATTTTAACAAAATATTTTTTTTAAATACTCTGTTCTCTTTGGTCTAGGCGTTTCCAAAGAAACTTGCGCTCTCCAACGTATCCCTTGACATATACAAAGGTGAAATCACAGTACTACTGGGACACAACGGCGCTGGCAAGACTACTCTCATGAACATAATTACAGGTAACATATTATTTTAAAAGTAAATTAACAATTATAAATTCAGTGTCTTTATTTTCGACATTCATTAAATTAGATTTTACAGTTTATCACCAATGTAGAGTTTATGCTTAAATACTTTACAATTACTCAGCATCTGTTTATAATTTGCCTTAATCTTCCCCTCGTTTGCCTATGCCGTACCTCAAACGATGTCGGCTTACATAAATCCTCTATGAATATAATTAATGATCTGTGACCAATAGCGTTTTTGTTGCGAAATTTGATGCACCCGCCTCAATAAATGTTCAATACTCTAAATTATCACGAAATAAATACAAGTTTTTAGTTTTTAAAATGATCCATTTTTGCCTAAGGGGAAGGATACATTTTAACAACGCCCTCTGATAGTATCACTTGTACTTCGCCATTATTTGATTGGACGCTTAAGCAATGCTGCTAATATGTTTATTTTAAAAGCTACGTAATATACAACATGTAACAAAAACTCTGTGGTTCCCGTTAAGTGCGTTATCAGAGAAAGTATTCAAACGTATAACTTTACCTTGGCATATTTTTGGATCTTCAAGAAGCATTTCATACAGCGTATGGGGATAGTCCCATCCTACTGGCATGTATGGAAGGCCTCTGCATAAGAGCTACCCCGCCAATGTGGTTTAAAGACTGTCTGAAGTCAGACGTACGTACGACTTCATAATTTACTATATAAATGACAGCGCAACTTGTACTTACGGTATTCCACAGAGAAGTACACTGGGTCCTACAATTTTCTTGATCTATATTAATGATCTGTGTAATACTGTACTGTAGTATGCAACAATTCAGATGTTTGCAGACGATACTCTGCTAATATTTCGGGAACGTACTTCGAACTCAGTCTATAGGTCAGCTGAAGAAGGGTTAAAAACCGTTACTTCATGGCTGGAAAACAAATTTCTATCACTAAATACTTCTAAAACAAAGTTCTTAAACTTAAGTATTAAAAACGCTAGTAAATCGAATGTAAATTCAAAATCAACAATTAATAAATATCCTTGTAATAGGATTCTATCCACCACACCTGACTGCAACTGTGTATACTTATTACGTAGTGGCAATATACAATGCTTGGACGTAATTATTGATGACAAGGTAAATTGGATAGCACACCTCACTGCGCGGTTATTAACCACAATAAGGAAGCTAAGTGCGTTCGTGAGTGCGTGCGTGCATGCGGGCGTGCGTTCGTGCGGGCGTGCGTGAGTGCGTGCGTGCGTGCGTTCGTGCGTTCTTGCATTCGTGCGTGCGTGCGGGCGTGCGTGCGTGCGTGAGTGCGTGTGTGCGTGCGTTCGTGCGTGCGTGCGTGCGTGCGTGTGTGTGTGTGTGTGTGTGTTTGTGTGTGTGCGTGAGTGGGTGTGTGCGCGTATGCGTGCGCGCGAGCATGCGTGCGTGTGTGTGTATGTGTGCGCGTGCGTGTGTGTGTTGTATTTGTATGTATGTATGTAAAAATTTATCGTACAATATCTTTAGAACGAATCAACCGATCGAGATGGGCGTTCGAAAGTATTCATTGAGACTTCAAGCTGATTAGATTTTCATGTCAAGCGGTGGAGCCGTTACAAAGATTTTCGAGAAATAAAAACCAAAAAATGTCTTCTTTTTCTTTTTATTATTTGATGAAAAAGATTTTCGAGCGTTGCGCTCGAAACCAAGCAGGAAGTTCCAGGGATGGCCTGCGGGGTCAACCGTTTCTCAGAATTTTTTTATTTGATAAGGGATTTTTTTAATAATTGATCTCACCTTAATCCTTTAGAACTTTATTGGGAAACATAAAAAGTTAATTCCACAATGCATATAAACAAAAAATATATATGAACAATCGACGACAACGTGGTAGAGCCATGCTGGAGCTATATCAGTAGTATAGTTGTAGCACGAATGGGTCCTCTCGACCGGGGAAGGACCATGCTCTCACAGAATACCAGCGTAAAATAGCAGCTTAACGCTGCTGTGTTTCGTATGGTGAGTGTAGAGAACCGGAGACCCTTTTTACTGGACAAGAGGCATTCCATCTTAGTCCTCACGGGTGACAACGCATCTACATTTTGAGTCTTTATTGAGGATAGATGTAGATGTCTATGGGTCACAGTAACCACTTACCATCAGGTGGACTGTGTGCTCGTTTGTCACCCTATCCTATAAAGAAAACGACATTTACCGGTATTTGTTTTATATAACATCCTAATATATATTTATATACCCGTTCTAGGAATGATAAGTGCAACTTCCGGCAAAGTGTATGTGGAGGGATTTGATAACGTCACCCAGAAAGACAAGGTGCGGAAGCTGCTAGGTCTATGTCCTCAACACAACCTGTTCTTCCCGGACCTCACCGTGCTGGAGCATATTATATTCTTCTCTATGGTATGTTTTCATTGTAAAACCTTAAAACCCTTTCGTTGCCCGTGCACTACATATAGGTCACTACTATTGTTTTACTATTGTGTCTTAAAATTCGGACAGTGAAAGTGTTAGCATTGATTTTTATAGTGTTTTAGGTTTATTTTTTAAAGTTATGCCCTTACTAGAAAATTATATGCACACCTCGCAGTCGTGTGTTAGAAATTAGTCTCAAAGTTATTTAAATAAAAGGAATATTTCTCAGAAACGACTACATTATAAATTAATTATGGAATATAGCAAGTAATGAGAACAAAATACAAAAGTAACACTAACTAACAGCAACACTAACTTATTTAGTTGATTACATCTTCCATGGCCAACTGAGACTGATGTTTCGGGTTGGTTACCGTTCTTTTATATCACAATGATTTCTAACCGAGAGACATCATTTAGGTAGTCAACACAAAGACTTAGGCTGGATTTAGTGCTCGGCCGACGGTGAGCGCTGACATCGGTTGAGCGTACCTATATCAATGAAAACCTATTAACGGCTACAGTGCAGCGCCGATGAAGTACTACGCGCGTACTGCTACGTCCGAGGAGCGTCGGTCCGGCGTACGTCGGTTGACTGACGCGCTATGGCGGTACATGCGTGCGTTCAGTGCGACGCTGACAGAGGGACCGACCGTACGCGCGTACGCATTATCGCGAACAAAAATCAACATTGATATATGAATATTGTGCTCTCGCAATTTCGAATACAACGAACTATATAACTATAGAGTTAACACATGGTTTCATTTTTCTTCGTAATGTTACACGTCTAACAAAGCTTACCGTCAGTTAAGCAATAAACGCTTGGCCTCGACTGACGATCAGGACGTACCGTCAGCGCGTACGGTACGTGCTGACCGTCGGTCGAGCATTAAATTCAGCCTTAGAAACAAACATTTACGCAGTGTCTTCGTAATAACGACTAAAATAAAAGACTGCGATTGACAACCCGCTTGCCAAGCGTGACAGTTATGACAAATATCCCCCTTATGATACAATTTGTTGGGGGGGGGGGGCTATGTTTAGCAGTGAACTTTTATATGCTATTGCGGTAACGGTGGTACGAATATGAAAGTCATGGAAGCCACAACTAGTTTTGTTTATAATGGTAGATCCACACTGCAGCTATATTGTGGTTGCAGCTGAAAGGCACGGGGTACCGCTCGGCTCGGGCGGAGTCCAGAGAGCTGGTGCGGCAGCTTGGGCTGGCGGGCAAGGAGTCCAGCAGGAGCGGGCAGCTGTCGGGCGGCATGAAGCGGCGCCTGCAGCTGGCCTGCGCGCTGGCCGGCCGCGCCCAAGTGCTGGTGCTGGACGAGCCCACGTCCGGCCTCGACGTGGAGACGCGCCGCTCGCTGTGGGACCTGCTGCTGGTGAGCGACCAACGAACCCATAGGCACAGTCTAAGAATCTTTAGTCAGTTATCACGTTTAATGTTGTGAGAAAAGCCATCATCGTCTAGACTTTTATGATGACTAATAAAATTGCTAGGTTTGTCACAGAGGGAAGAAATAAAAAATATTTAACTTAATAGTTAAATTCTCAAAGGGTAACCAAAAGGACCCTATTACTAAGTCTCCGTTGTCCGTCCGTCCGTCCGTCCGTTTGTCTGTCAGCGGGTTGTATCTTATGATCCATAATATGTAGATAATTGAAATTTTCACAGAATGTACAACAAATAATAAAATTAAAAATAATTAAAAATTAAAAGGGGCTACCCTACCAGAAACGTGTATTACGATAGTACGGAACACTTCATGCGCGAGTCCAAACTCTCACTTGGCCGATTTTTTTATTCCACGCTTAAACAAATTAAATAACTTAAGTAAACAGTTGGTGTTCAGAAATTCTGCTTCTGGTGCTATAAATATCAATAGATGTGTATACAATCACAATGACAGACCTCGAACACTCCATACAGCGGCCGCGTCTATTGTCAGTGTTTTCATGGGATAATATTATTATTTTCGCTTCATCCGTGGAACTGAACGTGTTACCAAAGTTTCACTATTTCAAATTGACAAGGTAACGGGGCAGTCCTGTCGGACAGCTCCCGAACGACTAATAAGTGTATGTTTGGTCGTTCGGGAGCGTACAGTTGTACAGTTTCTTGAAATAAATTATTATTATTAAAAAAACTACTATTGTGAAATTTGTCATAATATGATTTTTTAACAATATGTTGATGCATCACATTTTGAAGTATCTTGAGGGATTTTGACGGTAACTTGAGCCAGCAGATAGTCGATGACGACAATATCTCAAAGCAGACACATTATCTTGAGGTTCAGATCACCATCAAAGTACTTGTTTCATCGTTTCCACTCACTCACATATGCAGATGTTTACACAAAATTGCACAACTTAAACGAATCAAAATCTACTTCCAACCATTATTTTAACAATACTAACTCCTCCTAGTAATCCACAACAGATCAAGTTCTAGAGATACTATCTTAGCACTACTACTACGTAGAATGACTTAGGTGGAATCTCCCGCGCATGACGCCTACAGCTTAGATTATTTGCTCTCTAGATAACGCCTCACACAATGAGCGATGAAACAAAAGCTGGCCAGTGTTTACTAGCGTATGTGCGTGCGGCACGCACACACGCTTAGCGGTTGCTATATCTTATACCAGCGTCATTTGTATCTGAGAGTTACCAGGTAATGAATCTATCCTGATAAAATGGAGAAAAACTGTATAATTATGTCATGTTAATAAAAACATAAATTATAATATTTTAATATAGTGCTTTCATTTATATGTTTAGTTGTCTGTTGAGTTCGAATCTGATTTTTTTTTGTATAAAAAATATAATCACACACGAGGCATCCTCAGGTGATATAGACTCTACGGTGGCTAACCGCTAAGTGAGCGGCGAGCCAAAACAAGTGTCTTTTATACAAACCGATGATGCAACCGCTCTCTACCTAAAGAGCGAGCGACTGCGTCATGCGATAAAACATGCGACCAATCACCGCTGGACTTACGCAGCCGTTTTTAAAATTAAAAACAAACCGCCGCGCAGAGGCGAAACACGTGTCGTATTATCGTCAGTGGTGTGTCTTGCCTAGTGTAGTGGTGTTGGGAGTAGCGGTGCTGGGATTAGTGGTGACGGGGATAGTGCACGCAATTGAGGGAGGGCGGGAGGTGCTTCTTCATACTAGGTAAGACACATCATTTTATTTTATAATGCGGATATTTGCGAAGTAAATTTTTGTAAAAGCTTTTATGTAATGGATTTCCGCAAAGTAACGCCTGATTCTATTAATTATATTAAAACTTTCTTTTTCGAGCGTAAAATTGATCAAATTAATTTGTCATCTGTGGTAAAGTCTGGGTGCATCGCATTTTAAGGGGCATCAGGAGGCCATGGGTGAGGACCCATTTCGCCTACGCCTAGCTACGCCACTGCTTACAATCATGTATGTAATACAATTAACAACAAAACAAATTAGAAATAGCTTGGTAGTGATCACTTCATTCCCAGGGGTTATTATCATACATGCATTCCTTAATATTATAACCCTTTTTTTATAGGATAGGGTGACAAACGAGCACAGTCCACTTGATGGTAAGTGGTTGCTGTGACCCATAGATATCCACATCTATCCTCAACAAAGAATCAAAATGCAGATGCGTTGTCACCCGTGAGGACTAAGATGGAATGCCTCTTTTCCAGTAAAAAGGGTCTCCGGTTCTCTACACTCACCATGTGAAACACAGCAGCATTAAACTGATATTTTTTGCTGGTATTCTGTGAGAGCGTGGTCCTTCCTCGATCGAGCCGACCCATTCATGCTACAACTATACTACTAATATAGCTGCAGCATGGCTCTACCACGTGTAATACTCATGGCTCTACCCTTTTTATACAAACTTAGTTTATTAAAGTTTTTGAACTTTGAGCAGGTTTTGTATATTTTCTGGGATTTTGTCAAGTTGTGTGTATATTGTGTGCAACTGTGTGAGTGTGATGTTAATGCTTTCATTGAATAATATTAACAATATTGTGAACACAATAAAATATGTTCTCAATTAAACTCAAAAAAATAAAAACTTTTTATGGGTATTAGTGTTGATTTTTTTCGAATAACTTAATAAAGTATTTCTTAACGTTAAATTGTTGATTTTTAATTTAAAATAAATAAATATATTGCTACATGACTATTACAATGACTATTTTTCACTAAGATGCATTACATATCTGTATTAAATTAACATGTCTAAATAAGTTTCGGTTTCGGTTTCGGCCGAAACTGACACCCAGACCGAAGGTTCATTTTCGGTTTCGGTTGAAAATCCTGTTTCGGTCGGACACTAATTATTATACAATACTATTTAGTAATACTGTAACAAAGAGGAAAATTAAAGAAATAAATATTTAAGACTAAATAAAAAAATACCCGACTGCGCGGAAGCTTGCAAAACTTTATTAATTTATTAGTTTTGTTTTCGTAAATTACTATTAGTTTTGAGTTACTTACCGATAGTAGGAGATTTTTTTAGTTGTTTGTAAACGTCCTTTGTGATTTCTGCAGATTTTGATCGCGCAACTTGTCATTTTCAGCAAAATAATGTAACGCAGAAAATGAGCCGTGCGTGCGTATCTCTTGGCTTACAATTGACACTGAGGAGCGGGGAGCGCTTTAGAGGCTAACAGTTAGCTGATATTTTTATCAACGCTTTTGAGCCGCCTTTACTCTATCTAGCGAGTAAATAATCTAAGGCCTACAGTCACAATAAATAATAGTACTACGTACAGAAGTTGCACTCTTTTGATATTGACTGCTTACCGACGTTTTAATTGCCTACATAGTTGTTATTAATCAGATAAATCGCGCATGCAAGCTAAATAAAACTTTTTCGCTGCGCGCGAGTGTCCGTATTACTTTGCATCTTTTCTCCTTACTAAGTCACAACGGACTTTCCGTGGTTGCTAAGGGCTGTTAATAAAGAATAAAAAAATTCAATGTGAAATGGTAAGTTACTTGGGTAAAGTACCTATGCTGACTATAATCGACCATATAATCTACTATGTGAGTTCTGTGGATGACCAACGCATGTAACTTGCCAGGCCGTTCGTCGGGAATCGTGATGCTTGGTTCGTATAGGTAAATAGCGTAAACAACAAATAAACCTGAAATACGATTCCTAACAGAAGTATGATTGTTTGACTAAGTAATGTATTTACTATAACTAGCTCTGTATTTGGTTATAGCGCTCGTATTTCTTACTTTCATTTATTGTCCAATAGATCGTTGAACAAACCATACGTGTTTAATTTTATAATACTATACCCAAGCAATACTCGACCTAATTCAAAGCAACATATGGTCCAAATTCGAGCCGGATCCAGCGACGTTTACCTGCTCCGTAAGCGGCTGCCCGAGAACGAAAGATTAGAAAAAAGGTCGACTTGTTAACAAGTTATATAATTTAAAAACTAATTCATTTCATTACTTTGCTGCGTTTGAAGTTATTTTTGTCTACTTTGTGTATTATAATGGCTAAGGAAGTGGAAAAAGCATTGATTAAAATGGAAAACATTGCACTCACTATGAATAAAACACAAGTTAACCTGAAAAAGTGCCCAAAAGCAAGATTAACACGAAATTATGTTGAATCACGACTTAAATGTTTAGAAGAATACTGGTGCGATTATAAAGAAACTTACGACCAAATTATATGCCACAGAGCGTGGGAAAAAAGAGATCAAATACCGTATATTGCGAAGGAGGAGTTTTATGACCATGAAGAAATATACATTACTTTGAAAACTGAGCTTAAAGATTGGTTAGTATCCCAACAAGTTAGTAACAGTGCTCCGTTAACAATATCAAGTGACTCTCAACAAACTCGTGTAGTGTTACCCAAAATACAGTTACCTACCTACAGTGGGCATTATGAAGAGTGGTTATCGTTTCATGACTTGTTTAATACACTTGTTCACACTAACGAGACGCTAAATAATGTACAAAAATTGGATTATTTGAAAACAAGCCTTACTGGGGAAGCTGCATCTATATTAAAACATGTACAAGTAACAGATTCGAACTATGAACAAGCATGGGACATATTAAAAAGACGGTATGGTAATAAACGAATAACTATCAACGCTGTTATGAAAAAACTTTTTTCACAAAAGAAGATGACCGTTAATTCTTCAAGTCATATCAAGAGTTTGCTAGATACAACGTTCGAATGTTTGCATCAGCTCAAAAACATGAAGGTAAATATTGAAAACTGATATGATAATATTTGTGACAGTGCAGAAACTAGACTCTGAGACGCATAAAGTCTGGGAAGAACACGTTCGCAACAATTGCCAAGATCTAGATAATCTCCCGTCACTCGATGTTTTTCGT